ATGTTTGTTTATGTCTTGCAAACATCTACAGTCATGTGCAAAGGAGAATGGATGAAAGTGCAGCTCCCTGTTAAACTGCATTTTTTTTTCAAAATATAGAAGAGGAATCTTATACCCAGCATATCTCATTCTTTCATGGTTCATTCTTTAAACAGCTAGAACTCTCATTCAGCTGGTATTTAAAACAGAGAATTTGTTTCAATAATGTCTGCACCATCTTATCTATTTATTTTCAGATGGGGTATGAATAGCTAGAGTGTTTGAGCAGAATTGGAGAAACCAATTTCAAATACAATCAGCCACAGAAGTCCGTTGAAGGTCTTTGGGTCAGATACTACTTGTCTCTGATCCAAATTGTAACTATACTATGTCAGAATGTATTTGATATGATTTTCTGACATAGCCCAAAACCTTTTAATGTTTGTGAGTTCAGTAACCTCTTGCTCAATGATGGAGTAAAAGTCCTGTTTTGCCAAAACAGTCACTCTGAGATTTACCATAAAGAGTCTTTGCAGATTGAAATGTTGTGACAGTACTTTGTCCTTATTTTGAATCTTATGCCCATTAATTTGTTTTATGCTAAGTTTGTCTTATATAGAATCAAAAGTGGCATTGCTGTCAGATGATGGCATATACTATTTTGGAAAATAGCAGTAGCACTTAGACTTATATACCGCTTCACAGTGCTTTACAGCCCTCTCTAAGTGGTTTACAAAGTCAGCATATTGCTCCCAACAATCTGGGTCCTCATTTTACCGACCTTGGAAGGATGAGTCAATCTGGAGCCGGTGAGAACTCAACTCCTGGCACTGAGCTGAATTAGACTGCAATACTACATTCTAACAATTACGCCACCATGGCTCCTTGTGAAGGCACCTCTAATCTTGTGTGTGAAATAGTTGAGGCCTGCGATAGTGATGGTACTGCAAATGTGGGGAAAGAGTAGACATCTGGGTTTGTTGCGGGATCTGATTCTGTGTTAGCATAATTGTTTGGTTATTTTATATTGCCTACAAGAATCTGCTGCAGGTTTGGTGAAATCTGTAAATTGCCATTTTAGAACAAAGTATATATGCCAGCATTAGAAAGTGGGTGAGATTGCTAAATTCATTTACATCAAAAAGTTTCGGGCTATTTCAGAGATCTCAACAAACACAATGGATTTTTAATATATTATAATTGCTAACTGATGAAGTAATCTGTCTCACATATAACTTGCGTAACTACTTTCTCCCTTTACTTGACTCATCCTCTCTTCAGATCCTTCATCAATTAATCATCCCAGGTATTTAATCAAGAGACCTACACCCAACAAAGCCTTATGCTTCTTAATAAAATTTGTTAGTCAGAGAAGGTGCTGCAAGCTCCTGAGTTTGGGCTGCCATAGAGTAAAACAACTCTCTTTCAATAATGTCAATCTTAGGAAATGAGAAATGGAAGTAGCTGAGATCCTATCCCAGAATATGTCTGATGGGAAAAGGGGAAAAGATGAATAATTCATAATGAATTTTTAGCTTGAGAATTCAAACACATACATATTATCAAGCATATGTTTATTGAGGGGAAAAATGAGAATAAGCATAGTAAAAAAAAAAAGAGGTAAAGGAGTCCCTACAGATTTTATTCTGCTAATCGTTGTGGATTGTAGGGGGTGGTACTCATCTCCATTTCAAGGCCATTGAGCCAGTGCTGTCCAAAGACATTTCTGCAATCATGTGGTCAGCATGAAGTCATGGAGTGCTGTTACCTTCCCAGCGAAGTGGTACCCATTTATATATTTGCATTTATATACTTTTGAACTACTAGGTTGGCAGGAGCTGGGGAAATGACAGGAACTCACCCCACAGTTTGGAGCTCAGGTTTCGAACTTGGGCTGCTGGCTTTCCAGGTAACAAGCCCAGTGTCTTAAACCTTGAGCCACTGTGCTGCCTTGAATAAGCTAGTTGTTGTTGTTGTTAATTGCGAAGTCGTGTCCGACCCATCGCGACACCATGGACAATGTTCCTCCAGGTCTTCCTGTCCTCTACCATCTTCTGGAGTCCATTTAAGTTCACACCTACTGCTTCAGTGACTCCATCCAGCCATCTCATTCTCTGCCGTCCCCTTCTTCTATTGCCCTCAAGCATTAGGCCCTTCTCCAGTGAGTCCTTCCTTCTCATTAGGTGGCCAATGAGTTTCAACTTCAGGATCTGGCCTTCTAAAGAGCAGTCGGGGTTGATCTCTTCTAGGACTGACCGGTTTGAACGCCTTGCAGTCCAAGGGACTTGCAGGAGTCTTGAATAAGCTAGTACAGGCATATAAATACATTGATTAAGATGTTCAGTTCTAAAGAGAACAAAATGTATTGTTTACATAGCTACCGTTTCAGATAATTTGGACTGAATTTACTAAAATGTTTATGTTAAATTCCTACCCAGTAAATAGTTAGGGCAATATAGTATCCAATCTTATGCTACTATTTCTGTAATTTTGAGGTTACACTATTTATGCTGATTACTGTTGAGCATATCAGAGCCACTTTACCTTAGTGTAAGGCGCATTTTTATCCACCTGTTCAACCCTCCCTAAGGACCTGGGATAGGCAGATGTTGCTGTTTGACAGTGTTAAACATATCACTTCCGAATGTAAGCTATTCCAAGTAAAACTGCCTTTTACAATTGACTGATGGTGATTTTGTCAATGCCAAGTAGTGTTCAAGTAGTACTCCAGATGTTTTGGGATTGCACTCAAGCCATCAAATACGATTGATATTTTCTTTGCTTTCTGCTGTTAGTCATTCCACTTCTATTTGCAGGTCTTTGTATTTTGTGATGCTAATGATGATAATGATGATTAAGTTCACACTTACTGCTTCAGTTTTGCTGAGCATTGCATTCCCGCAAAAGTACACAGGAAGGTAATCCTTAATTTCTCAAAGCAGTTTCTGTTTCCAGTACTTCCACCCCTTTTGTTTTCAATACTATATTCTCAGGCTATTAAAATGACTCTCTCATTCCATAAATCAATTATTTGGGGGAAATCCATAGTCTTTTGGGTAAATATAGTAATTTGTTTGACAGCACTCTATGTTATCTATATAGGATTTCAGAAAGGCTTTAGCTGTTAACTTTGAAAACATTGCAATTTACATTGCCATCCAAATTGTTCCACAGATTGCCTTCTTTCTCAGTATTTGATTTATGGAATAAAAGGCAAAGAAGGAGTTTAATGAATTCATCATCTCTGCTTATCGGACTATCAGTCAAATCATGCTTCTCCTTACTTTCTGAAAAAGAGAAGGACAACACGGCAAAGGCTCTTGTAATTTGAACACAATAAGCTGATAGATGATTGACACATTTTAAATTTAACAACACTGGCAGAATTATAGTACCCGCCCTAGTTTTCTAACACATCTCTAATGCTATACAGCCTAGCTAGCATAGCACAGATTCCTGATTTCAATGGGCAAGTCTGATCTAGCTTATTTAGTCGGCATCAGTACCCCTTCTTCTAATTTGCAGCATCTCAAAATGCAGTTACCAGAAGACAAGCTCAACTCAAGGGTAGCTCTACAGTTTTAAAATAGGGTGACCTACAGTAGTGGCCAATATTGTGGAAACCTTTTGGGAAAAGTGTATTTTTGAGGTTTGATGGCTAATAACACTTTTTTTGGAGTAGTACCATAAAATTATATATCAATGGAAAGATAATTTAATCAAGAATGTAATGCAACAAAGTTTGTTCAATTATCTGTACTGTATTCTATGAAAAGTTATAACCAAATAACCAGAAAAAGGAAGCATAACTTGCTTAGGTTGATATTAGGTAGCTTTCCATCTGATTGTAGCCAATGAGCATGAGTGTTTAGAGAGCCAATCAGGTGTCATCTTGTTTTGGCAATGAGCCAATCAGATCACAGTAGGATTCAGTTATTGATGTCATGTATTGAAGCTGAGAGGAGGAGATTTATCAGTGTGTTATGTGAGCACTATCAAGTTGGTTGGGGTTTTTTTGTGTTCTTTCATTTAGTGAGCTTGTAAAACGTAATAAAATTAAAGTAATTGTGCAAAGAGTTGACTGGTTGCCCAGAAAGCGATGTAAAATAGTATTATTAAACTTAACCAGAGGTGGCATTTCTACTGTACACTTTTCCCAAAAGGTTTCCATAATTTTGGCCACTACTGTATGCAGAATGGCAAATCAAGCTGTGATTTGCTTGGATTTTCTGCAGAACTATAAGATAAATACCTTCAGATTGGAAATTAAAAGTTAAACGGAAATATACTTTGTAAAGAGAACTGATAAAATTATTTTCATAATTACAGTTACCCCAAGACAACTTGGAGGATGGGTTGGTAGGTTAACTAAGGGGTTGGGGGTTAGCCAGTTGCTTTTTCCTTTTTGCTCGGAATTCACTGCAGAAAAGGTAGGATCAACAAAACACCCACCCTGAGCTTCTACCCTTCACTCAACTCTTCATTCAGTTCAGCCAAGGATAAACTCATCAATCCTCAAGCTGGATTCGGGAAAGTGATACGAGCGCCGGTAGCTGCTGTATCTATCTCTGCTTCACACTGAAATCAATGAAGCTTCAACAAAAATGTATTATTGATTTGTTTAATTCAGACAGGCCATTAATTGGCCAAGTGCAACCCGAGTCTGAGCCGTTCACAAATAATAAAACAAAGACCAATACAAACCAAACTCAAGGCAGGGTTTTTGTTTGGTTATTGCTTAACCAAGGGACTTCTGATCACTTAAAACTTTCCCTCCACCGGACCCCTCTCCGGTTCGAAAGGGTCCGGGAAGAGAATCCAGGAACACAAAGTTCTATCGCTTGATAATAGAAGGGGAAGGAAAGAGCCGCTACAGTTGCTTGGGGGAAAGCAACCCATCCCTCCCAGCCCCACGGCCGGCCTGAGGCTGAGGGAGCCACACTGCAGTTTCCATGAGATGAAAGGGTGGGTAGTGGGGGGGGGGGGGGGAGAGAGAAGCGAGGCGGGGAAGCCGGCCAGCCCAGGGCCGTGACGTCAGGAAACTTTCCCTCAGTGGCTGAGCCCAGAGGCCGCGTTTGTCTCTCAACGCCGCGCGGGCGCGCGCGCGTGTCTATCCGCTGTCTCGAGTCGCGGGGGTCGGCTCAAGGCAAGGCGGCTTGTTCGGGGGCTGCAGCTTTGGCCGCTCCGGAGCCGTCCTCTCTTTCGCCGCATTTCGCTCTCCAACGCCCTCGCGCCCGCTTCTTCGGTCCAGCGTGCACGCGGGAGTCCGGGAAAATTCCCCGGCTGGAATTCGGTGGAGTTGGACGAAGGGAGAACTTGATGACTTGGCGTTGGCTTCAGGATTCCTTTCGGCGACTGACAGCGGGAGGAGGAGGAGGAGAAGAAGCAGGAGCGGAGGAGGAGGAGGAGGAGGAGGGGAGGAAAAAGGAGGAGGAGAGAGCGGGCGTCGAGGCAACTCTGGCTGGGTTTGTTCTCTTTTACTTTGTCTTCTTCGAGGACGGCAGGCAGGCAGGCAGGCAGGAAGGAGCCGGGCGGGAGGGGGAAATGGAAGAGCTTGGCCGAGGAAAGGGCTTTATTTTGTGGCGGCAAAGAGCGCGCGTGCGCTCGTGGCCCGAGGGAAGCCTGTTGAACGCCGGGCGGCTTTCCCTAAGGGTGCTGTGGAAGAGGAGGAGGAGGAGGTGTGTGGGGGGGGAAACACTCCCTCCCCCCAACGTCGCGGGGGTTTCAGGTTCTTTCTCGTAGGCGCAGTTGCCCTTTAGAGGGCTCGAAACTTTTCCGTCAGCGCGGGCGCGACGAGTTGAAGGGTTTTTTTTTGTCGTCTCCCCCCTCCCCCCCGGTGAGTGTAACTCGCTCCCAATTCACTTCGGTCTCAGCGGAGTCAGTCCCGCACTTCCTTTTGCCTCGCTTCTCCGGCGGCTTGTTGGCGTTATAGCCCCTCTTCTGATAGCGGCATCTTGTCCCTCCGTTGAAAAGGGAGAAAGTTGGCGCCGTCCTTTTTTTTTTTTTTTGCTTTCCGGGAAAAAGGAAAGCGCGCTCGGGCAGAGAAAGCGAGGTGCCTGCCTCAAATCCCTTAGGGTGGTTTTGCCTTAATCTGCCAGTCTCTCGGTCTCTCCCGTTCTTTTGTGTGACTCTTACAGAGTCTCGTAAAGTAGTGGACCGCTGGGCCAGGTTCGTCCAGGAGCCGTTTCTCGACTGCAGTTGTGTGGTTCTGCCTTCACGAGCGAGCCTTCTTGTGCTAAGAGAAATTTACTCATGAGTAAATGAATGCCTGCGACCGGAAAGTCTTGGTGTAAAGTCGCTTTTGTCCGATCCCTCAGCTTCGTCAGCTTCGGCGCGGCGCTTCTTCGTCTGGCATTAATTGGAGAGCTGAATCTGTTTTTCGGTTGTAGACCCGGCGGCAGCGGTTTCTGCTTGCTTTGCTTTTGACGTTTAGACTAGAAAGGTGGCTGGTAGTTATCTGAGGTAGTAATCAGTGGGTTCCTGTGGTTGCAAGGCTGCAGTCCAAAACCAGTGTCAGCAAGTGTCAATCAGGTGGATGTTTTGGTGCTACGGGTAGTAGAAATACAGTACAACTGAGTGACCGAAAAGCATTACTTGAGTAACACGTTATTCTCTATTCTGTATCCATGTACTGTGCAGGGGAGAAGATTTCAGAAAGGGAGTGGTTTCAAGACAGAAAGCTCTTTTTTTTAGGTACTATTTTGGATTATACATGTATTTTTTTAAACAAAAAAAAGTTGGAACAACTGGTGTTCACTTTTAAGCTGCAATCTTATACCTAATTTCTTCAGAGGAAACATCAAGAGATTCTGTACCCTACTAATACCTACAATTCGAGTTGCAACTCCTAGATAATGGACTGCTGGAATTCATTTTTCTCTTTTGAAGAAAAGATCGTGGGAACGATCCATATTTATTATTACATATATTTGTATGCCATCCTATCCCAAAACTTTTGGCAGTTTACAGCAACCAAACAAATAGTAGGACATTACAGCAACCCAAGTAAACTTAATTCCTAAGTGTCCAGTTAAACATAACTATTTTAATCACTTTGTTAGCATTTTTAAAAAATCCCAAGAAATATTATGTTGCATACATAGATATGCATATGTAGATATAAACTGCTAAATGTTTTCAGTATTATTATCTAATGGATACAGAACCTCTTAAACTTAACTTGGAAACTTCAGTTCCTGGGAGTGAAAGTTGTAAGAGTTACCGTATTAATACAAACATAAAAAAAAAAAAATCTGAACCGGAATTTAAAGTACAAAAGTTCCTGTGTTCTCAAAATACAAAGTTGATTTGGGGATCAAAAGAAAGATAAATGATATCAGCTTTTGTGGTCCCACAAAAAATGATGGGATGCTGATTCAGCTAAAGCATTTCACTCTGAGGACAAACCTGACATCACTGCAAAGATTAATGAACACAAGTTAGTTTTGCAAAGTCATCCAGTTTTGTGGACAAAAGCATACATGTGACTTAATTCCTTAAAACATAACATATGTGGAGGTAGGGCAGCAGCATCAGATTTTAATTTAAAATGGGCTGCAGTAACAGCTTGAACTTTATTTTCCAAAACTGCATTCAGAACAGATGAGGGAGGGGTAAAAAAATAGTTTTGAAGAATAGAGTTTTATCGTATTTATTCAATTAGCATTGACATGCATTCTTTAATACCAATTATTTATGATCTAGTAGTGAATTATACATAATGCAATTCTATTTAAATTTCATTTTTGATATGAGAGATGTCAGGGTAGAGGAGTTCAATGTTGTTCTTGAATGCTTTGGCATTAACTATTTTTCTCTGTCTGGCAGGGGTTCTCAACCTTGGCAACTTTAAGACTTTGTGGACTTTGCTGGCTGAGGAATTCTGGGAGTTGAAGTCCACAAGTCTTAAAGTTGCCAAGGTTGAGAACCCCTGGAAGGGCTAACACTGGATAATGATATCTGGTTTGTTGTATTATAAAAGCATTTGGCTTTATTTTTTTTCTATAATAGTAGTTGTCATTTTTATTGTAAATATTAACTCAGTTGCCGAAGTGCCTGTAAATCTGTGAACACTATCTTGTCTATTTTGAAAGCAAAAAGTCCATGGAGTGTGCCAAGTTGTTCCAGAGAGAAGGAGGTAGCTACTTCTTTATGAAACTTAAAACATCTGTCGAAGACAAGAATTACAGTGGCTTACTTGTTAATATCTTACCATGGAGGCCAACTTCTTTTGCTATAGAATTACCAGGCACCATACAATTAAGTGCTTGCAATGCTGTTAATTAATAGATTTGTTAAATTAACAGGTAGTACCATATTTCTGTTATTTGCATTTTGATACATGGTGGTACTTGGTATGCATTTGCTCAAACATTTGTCATGTTTTACTATATCCCTATCATTTTTCCCCAATAAATTTTCAGATGAAAGGTTCAAATAAAAGCTTTTAAGGCAGAATAGGAAGAACTATAATGTTTTATACTGGTTACTTTGAATAAGGGCAGGCAAGTATCCATGTGCTGGTATTCTTTCAAGGTGAGGGTGAGATTGTGGGTTATGTTTTATACTGGACCAGTGTTTCTCAACCTTGACAATTTTAAGGCACGTGGACTTCAACTCCCAGAATTCCACAGCCAGCAATGCTGGCTGTGGAATTCTGGGAGTTGAAGTCCACGTGCCTTAAAATTGTCAAGGTTGAGAAACACTGTACTGGACAAATTCCAGAAACAAGTATGACTTTCTGATTCTGACTCGAGTAGATGAATTATGTTGCAGGCAGCAGCTAGTAGCTATTGAAGAAGCATTCAGTTATTGTTCGTTAAGAAAATAACTTTCCTAATAACTAAATTAAAAAAACAAGGGTAACCGTATTTAACAGCTTTGATCATGCTTTCTACTTGCAGTGGTAAAACCAAAACCATAGTTGATCATAACAAATATGAAGCTGCAGTGTCTGCTGTATCAAACATTGCTACGGGCAAACACATGGGATGTTGGTGCAAATTACCAGTAGCTTCTATGGTTCTGTGACCACTGTGGACTCATTTATTCAATTTAGCCTCTGTAGTGAGAGTTTCTCATTCAATCTTGCTCTTTCGTTCTCAGGAAATAAATTGTTTTCTATTTAATTATTTTTAGTGAAAATAGGTTGATTAGTGAGGGCCTGCTAATATATTATCCTTGTTACTCTGCTCATTATTGAACCAATTCCCAATTCTGTTAGACACAAAAGGTACAATCATGTTTAAAGAAATACACCTTTGAAATTAAATTATACTGATTAAACAGTCAATTTAAAACCAAGTCATGAGAAAGCCACACTTGTCTTTTTCGGCTAAAGCAATATTTACGTATAGGTAGGAAATAAGGAAAGTGGTAAAGCTTGTAGTCATGCTTTATTTAAAAATGATCCTTTAATTTGATGGGCTTTGGTTGAAGTTATAACTTTACAGGTGCCCTTCTAAAGTCTTGTCTTTGGAATATACATTTCACCAAATCTATTTCCCTCCACCAATGCTGTTTCTTAATTGGTACTTAATACTTTAAAAGCTTAAATATATAAATGAATTTCCAGCTGTTGGGTAAATTATAATTTCTGTATATGGTGGATAATTCAAGGCAGGATTCCCCCCCCCATATATAACAAAACTGACCACCAAGAGAGCTATTGATGGCTGAGCACTTAGAGAGCTCAAAGGAGTCCACAGTTCAATCAGGAGCTACATACATGAATAAGTCATCAATAAACACATAGAGATAAACCACATTTACATGCTATTCAAAAGAAGCAATAAAAACTTAAGGAAACAAAAAGACCAAAACACATTATTTCCAGCAGTCTCCAGATAAGCAGAGATTAACACCAGGCAGACAAGCAGAAAACAATATCCTAATCAAGGAACTAGCAAGGAAATAGCTACTAATATTGGCAGGGCAAGCTGCTGTATATAAAAAGGAAACAAGTCCTATACTCATTAGCACTGATGATGTTACCGAGTTGGATGATGAAATTCTGCAAGCAAATTTCTCACAATTAGCAACCAGATTTCTTCAGGAATACTAGAAGCTGGTTGAATCTGGACCACATTTTAATCTACCAACTTAATATGTACTCTATACTCTATACATACATACACGCATACATACATACATATCTTAAAATATGGCTCAGGAAGATAGACTAGGCATCAATCTAAGCCAAATTGGTTTTAATACATCATATGAGTCCCATACTTGTCTTAGCTCCTGCAAACCTAGCAGTTCAAAAGCATGCAAATGCAAGTAGATAAATAGGTACCAGTGTTTCTGTACAACTATTAGGTGTATAGTCATGCTGGCCACATGATCATGGAAGTGTCTTCGGACAATGTTGGCTCCCTCGATTAAGAACCGGGGATGACCACTGACCCCTAGAGTCTGACATGACTGGACAGGGGAAACCTTTACCTTTATGCAGTGGTGGGAT